CCCAATAAATCTTGGTTAAATTTTCTCAAAAAAAAAAAAAAAACAAGAGAGTAAGTAGCTGAACCAGGCCAGTGGGTGAACTGGTTGAGTTTCCCTTGATGTGAGTGCTAACTTTACAACTAAAAGACCCGGTTTGGTGAGTGAGGGTAAACTGTGCTCTAAATAAGCCAAAATTGAAAACTTGTGTAGCAATTGGTGGGAATGTCGGTGCTGTGAAATAAGGAATCATTAAATACTAGGTTTGGAAGTTTCAGGTACAATATTCGTTCTCTTTTGAGAATACTAATGTAAATCTCAAAAGAGAATACAATCTTCCTTCTCTTTTGAGAATACTATTTAAAATATGTAGGAGAGGTACTTGAAAAGACTGTTTCTCTTCTTCCAAGCCTAACTTGGAAAGATTGGAGGGTGTGTTTGGAGAGGTTTGCACCTCAGAATTAGAAAATAGATTACTGTATGAGGTACCTAACCACAATGAGGTTAAGAGAGCAGTCTTCAGCCTTGAAGCCCTTAAAGCTTCGGGTCCAGATGGACAACTGGCCATCTTCTACCAGAACAACTGGGAGGTGATCAACAACGATGTGGTGGCCTTTGTGCAAGAAGCTTGTAAACAGAGAAGACTTTCAAATGCAGTTAAAGCCACTAATCTCATCCTCATCCCTAAGAATGAGAATCTAGAGGTGGGATGGGGGGATTTCCACCCAATAAGTCTTTGTAATGTATCATATAAGATAATTGCAAACATTCTTTCAAGCTAGATGGAGCCTCTACTTAGTAAAGTTAGGGGGAACTACCAGAATGCATGCATTTCCAGCAAGCAAGTCTTTGATAGCTTGGTGATCGTGCATTAAATTCAGCTGATAATGAAGTCAAAGAAAGTAAGGTGGGCCTCTTCCTCCTTAAGATGGACATGTTGAAAGCGTATGATCGTGTTGATTGGTGTACCCTTTTGAAAGTTCTGCATAAAGTGGGTTTTGATGAATGATTTTGTGACTTGGTTCAGATGCGTGTAACTAACACATGTGCTTCGGTGATGGTGAACAAAAAGTTCAGGTGTGCCTTTAAGGTTAGGGAGTGGACTCAGGTAAGAATGCCCCCTCTCACCATATTTGTTCATTATCTACACAGAGGTAAAAAAAAAAAAAAGAACTATCTATGTGGAGGGAACAGGACAGGACATGTGAGCAAGTGATTAAGGGCAAGTATGACCAAACTGATTTTGGACTGGGAATTCCAGTTGGCTTGCATGCCATATGGGATTCACAACCAGGTAAGGGTGCACATGTCTATTTCTGGAAGGATTCTTGGTGTGGAGAGTCTTGGAAGTTTATTTTTATGATTTTGAAGAGTTAATTTATGATCATTTCAGGTGCTGATAAGTGGAAGTACTATTCATTTATTATTTTAATGTATAGCAAGCATACATTTATATGCTTCCCCCAAGGTTTTTGTTTCATTTTCTGTGGATTGATGATGTAGCCTTGACAGGTTTCCTGGAGAGAAGTACCCAAGAGAAATAAGAAGCCTTGTGCTCAGCTTTTGAGTTGATCAGGTCTATGGGGCTCTGAAATCACCTATACCTAGTTTCACTTATTCTAACTGTACAAGGGCAATTACTTAGTGTAATGGTAAAATCTCAGGCTGTCATGCATGAGAATGTGGATTTGAGTCAGAGGGTGACCACTTTGTGTTAAATAAAACGCCAAAGGTTAGGACCATACCCAGTCTACCCCTTCCAAGACCCAAAATAGCTGGGATTAATATTGGGTGGTGGCCATTTTTTTAATTGGACAGTGCTATTATATTACATAATGAGGGGATTTCTACCTATAATTTTATTTTTATTTATTATTTTAAATTTTCAACTAGGTGTCATCGAGCAGGAGCTTAGAAACCTAGTTTGATCACCTTACACCTAGCTGACTAGTTGCTTTCTCATGTAGGTGAGCCTAAGTATCTTGGTAATGCAGGCTTGAAATATTCAGGTTTCACACACACACACACACACACACACACATATATATATATATATATATTGAACAGAAATTATGGATTTGATGGCCATGTACTATGATGTCGTGCAATCTGGAAGCTCCCTTGTGGCAGACGACTCAGACTCTAACGTGGAGGTTCGCTAAGCCGAGTTGATGCTGATGTGTTCGAGCTGAAACGTACTGCAAACGACAGAGAGGGATGAGAGTGCCCGGGTATCTTTTACCTAGGGAGGGCACTCCGATGCTTAAGTCAGTAAGTGTATGAATATTTCTTTGAGAGTGTGAGGGAGCTCGAGAATATTAGTGCGCGTACCTTTCTGGGTGGATCTGGGCGCCTTATATAGGTCGCTGGACTCAGGGGGTTCAGGGTAACAGTCTTGTCTTGAGCTCTTTGTGGAGTTGTTTTCCTATTTTCCTGGCGCATTAAGGTGCCAGTTGAGAGATCCTTGCGGGAGTTACGGTTCGTCTAAGTGAAGTCGAGGCAAGCGACACAGTGAGTCGTTCTAATGGTCGTGTTATCGGTGCTTTTGGTGGCGAACTGTTGGGGGCGGTTAGGGAGCTCTTCCTCGCAGGTTGCCTTAGGTCCTCTCAGCTCGGTCGAATCCTGGGACAGGTCGCTGTAATCTTATGGTTCTGCCAGCTCGGTCACGCCGAGGTGAAGGTCGGCTTGAGCGAGGTGCTCCAAGCTAACTTACCGAGCTGGTCTGCTGATTTAGTGCCGGGGTGTCATCCGGAAGCCACGTTTCGCTAAATGATTAGGAGGACCAAATTACTCCTCATCATACTATACTAATGCCTTTGACCCTTTTGAGAGCTAGTCTTACCTATTATTGTTTACTGCTTATTACTTCTCACCTTCTGATATTCCATTTTATTTTCTATTTTCTGTATTATTGATTGCTAACAATGTTTGGAAATGTGTCAAATAGGAGAAGTACAAGAATAAGCCTTGGCTTTTGGAGGATGAGACAGGCCAATCTCAGTATCATGGTCAGCTTGAGGGTTCACAATCGGCAACTTATTATCTGCTCATGATGCAAGGAAAGGAGTTTGTTGCTATCCCTGCTGGTTCTTGGTATGTATACCAACATATGCAACCTTAAATTATGTTTGAGATTAGAGAGAGCTCTATATTCTTTTCTTCTCACTGTCTTCATCTGACAAGTAGATTTTAATGATTGCTTATGTGTAAAAGTAATAATGTACCGGGTCTTCTTCAGTTTAATGATTTCTTTGTAGAATGTGGAACATTGCTATTTATGTTCTTTCACGCACTTGTAACTTCAAATCCAATAAGAGCACACAATTTTTCTTTTTGAGAATATTGCTTATTTCTATCAACTATCAATAGACAGTATATAATTGATGATCCAATATAAATTCCATTGTATTAGTTTTTACTTTGCAGCTATGGTATTGATAGGAAAAACAATTTTTTAACTATGTTAGTAATGGATGCTTGGTTGCTTTCATCCTTAGGTACAACTTTAACAAAGTTGCTCAGTATAAGCAACTTACCTTAGAAGAAGCTGAAGAGAAGATGAAGAACAGGAGGAAAACTGCAGATGGATATCAAAGATGGATGATGAAAGCAGCAAATAATGGACCTGCTGCTTTTGGTGAAGTAGAGAAGTTTGATGACAAGGAAAGTGGTGGGGGTGGTGGGGGTGGTGGGAGAGGACGTAAAAAAGCAACTGGTGATGAGGATGAAGGCAATGCCTCAGATAGGGGAGAAGAAGATGAGGAAGAAGAGGAGGCAAGGAAAAATCGACTTGGACTCAGAAAATTAGCTGGTGATGATGATGAAGAAGGTCCAAGAGGAGGTGATCTTGATTTGGATGATGATGATATTGAGAAGGGTGAGAACCTGTCTTGTTTGCATATTTTATTACCTTAAAGCTTGGGCATGATCTGTTTATCTTTGTTTTTCATGAAATTTAGTTAAGGAAGAAAAGTTCTACTTAACAAGTTGTTGCAATGAAGAGTTATCAGTGCTAATATATTCTCTAATTAATTACCTTGATAGTTGTACCATAAGAGTTATCTTCAAACAAAAGGTTGTTTAGTTTTGGTTTTTCTGCTGGCCCTTTCTAGGTGATGATTGGGAGCATGAAGAAATTTTCACTGATGATGATGAAGCTGTGGGTAATGACCCTGAGGAGAGAGAAGACCTAGCCCCTGAGGTTCCTGCTCCTCCAGAAATCAAACAGGTTTGTTTTGCTAACTGTTCTCCCACCCTTGTTTTGATTGAAAAGTACTAGTTTACAAGCTACATCAGAATTCATAGAGGAAAACCATCACCTCTCTTCTGTGCAATCTAGCATGGAAGTTAATTCAACCTGTATAGCCAGCTATTCTTGCTACTTGAGGTGATGAGATGTTCATAGTTGACATGAAGTTCATATCTTCCTGGTTTTGCTAGGTTTTGCAATGTGGGTGCTTTCTTGACCACTGTTAATGTTCAGAAGAGAATGGTATGGTTGAATTCGAGTTTGAATAGCTAATCAAGCTTACCTTGAGATTCAAACTTGATTAGCATTGAACTTGAGCTTGAACCATTTGACTAAAGCTCGATTCAATTGTATCCCTACACTAAAGGGGTGTTTTGTAAGCGGTGTTGATTCACTTATTCCACTTTCTCATATTGCCAATCAGCCTATTCACCAAATTACTCTGAGAAATCACATTTGTCAAGCTAATTGCTCAAAAGAACAGTAGGGGAATTGAGCACTCTCAATTTTCATGTTCAGGGATGATTCTTGAATCTCCAATAAATAGCTTCTTGGAATTGAGGGAAGGATTCTAGAAGTGATTTCTGACACGGTAGTGATGTATCTATGCCAATAATGTCCAAACCTAAAATATGTAACACCTGATATGCAATAAATAAAGATGCCATATCAGCATTCTTTCACCAAATGTATTTTTTTTTTCCCGAGAAACCAAAGATTTCCTTAAATGCCTCAAAATTGTTGATTCTTAGGGAAAAAAATTTGAGGAATCATTTCTTTTTACCACATCCACTAAACCTTCTTGATAGGGAAAGGGCAGGCTTGGTGCCTGTAAGAGACCTTAATGTGTTTTTGTGAGTCTGAACTATTGCATCTTTTCCAGACCTAGTGAGACCCCTATGGGACTCGATATAAGTTTTTGCTTGGGGCGCCTTATGCAATTAACACAAATGCCTGGATTGGGATACGTGGCGGAATCACAAGGGAGGTCAAGGAGGTTGCATGTGGCATTGTTTGGTAGTTGGCTCCTCTTGGACATGTGTCTCCACCCTGGGGGCACTTAAAAGCATGGACGGGATGGTACAATGGTTCCCCTAGGACACACTTCCTTACTCGAGGAAACCCCTAGATTTGTTCCCTCTGCTCACAAAGGTGAGGAACATTTTGGAATGATTTGAGCCATGAATGATTACATGGCAAACCTCTCCTATAAATAGGGGACTCGAGCTCCTAATCGAGGACTTCGACATTCTTACCCATTCTTCCTAGTTCTCCTTATCCTCTTACATCAAGAATCTCTGGTTGTAGTTCCATCTTAGGAGAGGTATGCCACCAAGAAGAGCAATTCCACGATAGGACGAGCAGCCATAACCATTGGCAGTTGAGGAAACAAAACCAACTCCTCTAGCACTTGAGGTTGAGGTCCCTTTAACTAGCAAGGACGAACTTGATGACAATTGGGCCAGCCTAGTTGGGAAACCCTATGAACTTAAAGAAAGACTCAGCAGAACAGAAGAGAAGTAGCAAGAAAGGCTAGATCAGGTTGAACAAAGTCATTTCCTAGTGACTTGACAACAGAACTTGGTTGCCACAACCCAAGCTTCTTGTGCCTCGGTGCATCAATCGCCAAATCTAGAATGGACAATGGTTCCACTTAGCCATAAGGAGCTGGAAGGAGATTGCAGAAATAGGCTCAAGCAGGAAGAACATAAACTTTTGCTGGAGACCTCCACCTCATGGGTTCACCAAACTGAATTTCGATGGTAGCAGCATAGGCAATCCATGGCCTTGCTATGTACTCTGGTCCGATTGGGGTAGGAGAGACTTTGAGGGCTGAGGTTCTAGGAGCTATTGAAGGGATACAAAGGGCCAAAGAACTGAATATTAAAAAGCTGATTATAGAAGGTGATTCTGAAATTGTGGTGAATTGGCTACCAGAGGACAGTTCTATGCTCTGGAGATACAACAATGAAAAGAGGAAATTCAAGTGGCTCACCAAGGACATGGAAATACATTGTACATGGGTAAAGAGAATTGCAAATGCATTGTTAGATGGTTTAGCTAAACAAGGGGTAAACAGGAATACTATGTTCTGGGTTGTTTTGTAATTGTAATTGTAATTGCTTCATGGTCAGGATGTACCTTGGATAGTTGGGAGTTAAGACTATTTAGCTCCCTCCTTTGTAACTCTAATTATCTAGTTCCTTATTAACAAAAGTTCATTGTTATTGATCAAAAAAAAAATCACAAAATTGCTAGGCCAAAACCGTGAGTTGCATCTTCACAATCACCATCACCAATTCGACACCCTTCATCTCTAAACTAGATCTTGGCTCTGCCCTTTTTTCCACCAATGGAGACTTGAGGATGAGGGAGTTATCCAAGACCTTAATCAGACTAGTGTATACTTGATAAAGTGGCTCATGATGGAGCGGATGGTCAAAATGGTGGATTTGAGAATTGTCTGTCAAAATAGCATGGAAGGTCGTGTGTCGTTCATGATGCAATTTTGTAGGGTCTTTGATGTAGGACCAGCTGAGTTATCCAAGACCTTAATCAGACTAGTGTATACTTGACAAAGTGGCTCATGATGGAGCGGATGGTCAAAATGGTGGATTTGAGAATTGTCTATCAAAATAGCATGGAAGGTCGTGTGTCGTTCGTGATGCAATTTTGTAGGGCCTTTGATGTAGAACCAGCTTAGTTCTAGTCCTTAGAGATAAGAGAGAAAATAGGGAGAGAAAGAAGATAGAAAATACCTAGAATCACTCACAGGGTGCCTAGAATCACTCTAGGGCATGGGAACCACTCACCATAGCTAGCATAAGCTGAAGAAAACTCAATAAAATTCATTGCCTTTGTGTAAAACATCCATACATTATTTGTAGACTCTAAACTCATAATAATCGTAGGAGTCAAGCATGGAAGCTTTTAATATCTTTATTTTTTCCCCAATTGCATTACTTCAAATAGCTAATGTGATATTAAACATTATGCATTCTTGATTCTACGAGCTGCCTTTGTACCAAGCCCCTCAAGGCAAGCCTAAACATTAAGTGTCTTTTAAAAATATCTTTTACCAGGATGAATGAATGATCAACATTGGCAAATATGGGCTTGCCTCAAGGGGCTTGATTGGGGGTCTGGGGGTGGAGCCCTTGGCCCAATTGCTAAACACACGCACAGAAAAAAAAAAAAACAGAAAAAATGCACAGATTTTCAAAATGCGCACGTCTGGACTGGAGTGCAAGGTGCACTAGGCGCACACCTTTTGAAAATGGTGTGCTTAGGATCTAAGTAAAGCACATACAGTAAAATGCGCCTCGCCTGTGCGCCTAGGCGCACCTTTTAAATCACCGTCCATGGCTTGATGGATTGCTATATAAACTTTGTAGACTATTTAAAGAGTTGGTCAAAGTAGAAGATTATGTCTAGGCACTGGGAAGCAGTTCTGTAGACACAATTTGTTACAAGGTAGGGTCTGGTTCCAAATTCTTGGAATTGACCTCGAACTGGCCTTGAACCGACCCCACCTAATTTGTTACAAGGTAGGGTCTGGTTCCAAATTCTTAGAACCGACCTTCACCTAGGTCGGTTCCAAGGTCTAGGGGTTTACCCTATCCAAACCGACCTAATGAACCGGCCTTGGAACCAAACTTGCCTTGAAATAAATTCCAAAATATTCTTAAGGATGTGAAGATTTGAACCCAAGCACTCATGGTTACAATTGCCATGGTCTCACTTTACCATTGAGTTAGTTTAGTGATTTGATCATTTGTTTTCATTTTTTTAAAGGATATATTTCATTTTTTTTGAAGGGGAAGAGTAAAGAAAGAACAGGTTCCATGGGTAGACCCTGGAACTGACCCCGAAACTGCTAAGGCTAGAACCGACCTTGGAACTGACTTTTACAGGGTAGGTTCTAGTTCCAAAAACTTGGAACCGACCCCTATAGGGTAAGGTTCCAGTTTCTGCCATTGGAACCGAACCGAACCGACCCATGCCCACCCCTATGAACTTATCATTGCTCCAATTAACTTATGAAGACATATAAAAGGAAGCCTTGCTCCTAATGTCATCCAACATAGAAAAAGCGCTAATCCAACACTTTGTTGTATAGCCAAGAATTCAGTTTGCATGATATCTGCACCATTACTAACCCTATCACCTATAGACTATTACACCAATAGAGATGGAAATTTAACCTGTCTTTGTGGGGCTTTTCCCTTTAACTATTCATCGGGTTTGGGGTGGGTTTTGGGGAAACATGAAACTCTGGGGACAAGAGGGGTGGTAGTTGTCCACCTGCCTCGATCCTGGCTTTGAACTTGCCTCGACAAAAATTACATGTCACTGGTGTTCTTGGGATCTTGCAAGTAGGGTTGGATTTGAGCTGAATACTTGGCTATTCGAGCTCGTCTCGCTGAAATTGATATAGGCTCGAGCTCAATTCGAGCTAGAGACTTGAGCTCGAGCTCGGCTCGGCTCGAGCTCGACTGCAAGCCGATTTTTTTTTTAAATAAAAAATATACATATAAAAATATTTTTTATTTTACATACAAAAAATAATAATTATAAAAATTATTTACTATTATATATAAAAAATAAAAATATTATTATGTAAAATAAAAATTATTTATTATATATATTTATATGTATATGTATGTATGTATATACTAAAAATATTTATTTATTATACCAGGCTCGCGAGCCTCATGAGCCGAGCTTCGCTAGGCTTGAGCTTGAGTCAATTAGCAAACGAGCCTATATATCAGGCTCAAGCTCGGCTCGAAGCTCAGTTTAAACCGAACCGAGCTGAGCTTTTCACGAGCCGAGCTCGAATAGCTCATAAGAAGCTCGGCTCGTGGCCACCCCTACTTGCAAGTGACAATATTTCCAAGCTGGATCTCTTCTATTTCCTTGAGTTCCTTGGCTTTCTTCCTAACTAGCACCCACATCAGCCATTTTTTATTAAATAT